TGAAAATGTATTTATGTTTTTGAAAATTATTATTGACCACGCAATTATAAAAACTAGACATCTTGCAGAATTCGGGCAAAAAGGTTGGTTAATAGTTGTTTGTAGAATGAAAAAAAACAATAACAATAAATAATCGAATGACTCAATGCAGTCACAGTATAATTCTGATGGTTGCTAGTACAGATATTTAAAATTAAATAAAATAAGATAAAAAATACAATAGAATAAGATGAACGAGTTTAAAATATGGAATAAAAACTATAATAAAAAATGCATATTAGGCAACAAAAGAATAGTATGCTAGTTAATTTTGATGCATTATACTACAATAATAATATTTATTCATTCTATTTTTTACGGACGGTAAAAAAATTACTCAGAGTATAGTATAATATATATAAATAAAGAAAAATGGTTGATATTGAGTGGTTCAATGGTATAAAATGTAATTTACACCTTATATTATTTAACATTTCTAAGAACTAGTTAATTTAATTTCATGAATCAGTAATATCAAAGGGTAATATAAATTATAATAGCTACCTATTATAGCAGTATAGCGCAAAGTGTCTAATTAATTATTTAATACATGACTAGTTTAATTTTTTAATGAAAGATATTCAAATGAAATTGATCAAATCAAAAGTTTAAAGTATTGAATCAAATCATTAAGACTAGGAGATGAATAAATTAATTCGAACGTTTATATGAAACTGAAGTTTCAAAAACGAAATAAAATAAAGTATAAATACTATAAACACAGAAACAAGAAAATCAATTTTCAGAGAAAATGTTTACCGCTTATATTAGATTATCAACATTTTAAAGTTTAAGGGGATGCCCTCGTTTATTCTCTTAGTTTACAAACGTATTACAGCAAATTTTCGTTCAGCAAAACCAATGGTATTTTTAATTTCCAAGCTAGTTTTGGTAATTTTTAAATTGTAATTTTACTCTTAAATTGCTTAAAAATGTAAGTACCGTCAACAACTAGCAATCACTGTACACAGCTGATGTTCTAACGTTTAAGTTTGGATGGTTTAATAATAAATCAACTCAATTTATTATTCAAATATAACACAAAATTGTTTTTGGTGAACAAAAATTTACATTTTACAATGATTTAAACATCATAATCCTCTGAATCATAGTTTGGTTATTGAAAATGTTTGTACTTATTATTTTAAATTATTACTAAGTATTTGATTTTGTCACATATTAATATATTTTAATTTTTTTTTTATTGTGTTAGCAAAGTAGAGTTGAATGAATATCTATAATTTTAAAATACATATATACAATTGCTTAAATAAACACAAGTACTTGTTATATTATTTGACTCAAATATTCTGGATTATGAAATTGTATTTTACTATAGTATATTAAATAAGAACATTTTAAATGTAAAATAAAACACAACATATCAAGAAATTTGGAAACGTTTAGTATTCTACTACATGTCTATCTTGCAAACTTTCTTGATACACTTTAGATAAACTAATTCTACTTTGAATCATGAACAAAAATATAACACAAGTGAAATTTGAAAAAAAGTAAAACACAGAAGTTTGGTTTACACAGAGAGTTTCAGTAAATTTTAAAGCTACGATCAATCATTGTTTTTGAAATGCAATTAAGATAATACTTTAGCTAACCCGTAAACTGTCATTTTTTCTTTTAAAATACTCATTTCTTTTACTTTTTTTTACATTTTTTACAAAAACAAACTAAAAAAATTGAAAACCCTAGATGTGCAGTTTGTTAATAATTGAACTCCAATAATCTTTAAGGGCACAGCAAACAATTTTTAAGTATTTAGAAAAAAATAAAAATAACTTTTAAACCATAATATTCTTCAAACCGTTTGAAGTATAAAAAAGGATTGCATTACGCTATATTTTTTAAAAATGTTTAGTGAGCTCATAACTGTATTATGAGCTCACTAAATATTGAAGCTGTACAGTATAAAAACATTTTAAAACAGAACAACGCCCTTTTTTCTCAACTTTCGTAAACCTCAAACATTCATCGGAATATAGGGAACTTATAATATGTTTTTTAACTTTGAATATTTGGTTTATACTTATAACCATTGATTAAAATATAAATATAAATACTGGGATTTGGTATATAGTATTTATAATCAATGCCTCGAGGGTGTCAAACAATCCAACTTTTTCTTTTTACGGCAGGTCAAATCTGTGACACTTTTCAGAATCACAGGCCAATATATTTTTGATAGAGATATAGAGGTAATGCTATTAAAGATATATAAAAATTATTTTAATTCATTATAATATTATATTACTGACTATAAAAACTATTATATTTTTAAAATATAAATTTGCTCGGTGGACTGTAACTGGCTAAAGGTCCGTAGGTTGAATTCTCCTGATATAACATAATAATATATATACATATATATGTGTGTATGCATCGTATTTTACAATGTATATATATTACGTATTCGGGTACATTGCAATAAAATAAAATAAAAACCACTGGATACCAATATTTTTTATTTGAAAACTGTTTATATGAGATTTTTTATATGTTGACAAATGTCTATTAACTTTTAAGTTTAAACGAATAAGAAGTATAGGTTTTGAAAATCGAGAAAGCAATAAAAACATATATAAATGACTCAATGCACGCGAAACCATAGTTATTCAAATAATACTTAATACCTAGTAACCCTAATACTTAATTATTATAACTGGTAGATTTGAACATTGATAATATAACCGTTTTTGAAGATATTCGGAAAATAATACTTATTTTAAATCAAGTGTAGTTAATAGGTTTAATCTAAATGATTGTATCCTTAATATAATTGTTTACACTTAAAACAAAAGTAAAAATTAAAACGTTTGTTGATTTATTTTGTTTCTTAATATGGATATATAATATATATATAATTTTTTTCCATATCGCAAAAACCAATATTTTAGTTTCATAAAAACTCTTAGTCGTTTCTACACCGTAAAGTACGAAATTATAAATTAAAAATAAATGTATGATTATTTTAAGTTATAAGTTATAATAAAGTATACTATTTATAGGTATCGAAAAGTATAAAAGTTTTTTAAAATATTGTTGTAACTGAAGTTTAATTCAAATGAAATATATTTTCACTATTTTTATATTTATTATTTTCAAATTTTACTTATACGTTTTGAACGGTGTCATACATTTTTATTTCATATCTCAGAAAAAAATGTTTTTCAAAGAAATTAAATACATATAGTATGTACCTAAAGTAATTTTTTTGTAAAAATAAAACTTAACGTAGAGCCACATATATTTTTATGATCGTTAATCAGTTTATCTAACCAATTTTTTTTTGTTTTTTAGTTATTAGTTGAATTATCAGAATCCACATTAACAATTAATATGTTATGGATTTGACTTCATGTAGCCTAGTATTCTATAATCATTTGGTGAATTTATAATTTAATAACAACTATGGATATATTATAATACATATATTTGTACAACATTGCTATCTACTGTAAAAAGTGGGTTTCTTAATTGTAATAATGCACGGTGTACTTCCATAGATGCTTGCAAACAAATGTACTTGTACTTAAAGTCATGCCTCTAAAAATTCGACTTCTTCTGAAATTATAATACTATAAATATTAAGTAATCGTATATAATTATTCTGCAGATTTTGTATACAATTTGCATTTAGCTCAAGTAAAATATCTCCGGTGCAGTTCTAATAGGTGATAATGGTCTAGAATGTCTTTTTTTGAATTTACGTCGATATAGGAAATATTATTATACTTATGAAGTTGTAGAACATTTTTTGTATTAATGACATATTTCTTAATATCATATTATAATCAAACCAATCTCGAAAACGATTTAATAAAATAATACTTAAATACAAAAAGTATTGTCTGTTAGAATTGTGTTCATAATTATTATAATATGAACTAAGTCTATTGATAGAACAAAAATAAATCTAAGTAAATGTTCTGCTATGACCTTTTCTATAAAAAGAATACTAATACAGTTTAATCATTTTTTGTACAATTTAAACTTATCAAAACCAATTACAATACTTGATCTAGTAGTAAAATTTGATAAACAAAACTTTCATTTAAATATCATATAAACTATATTCTAAATAAAGCGTTTGCAAAATTAGTATTTTTAAAAACGTACTTGTCGACAATTTACAGATAAATTTGAATAAATAACTTTATATAAATCGTTAGTCCGTTCTCGTTTTGATTATGAACTACTTATTAGGTAACGCAGAAACAATATCTTAACAAAAATCCAAAATAACTTTATAAGATTTTTATGTTTTAAATTGCATATTTATAGAACTCCTCATTCTCCCTATGACGTAACAATACATTTCTAATATGCATACGTTAGAAAAATGGGTTATACAGCTAAAATTAATATTTATTTATAAAGTACTTAACAATATGATTATGATTATGAACCAATAAACAGCCGAATTACGAATCTTTTTATACAAAATTTACCTACCTACCAGAACAAATTATTTGTTAAATTCACCTTCAAATGTACTTACATATGCAGGAAATTCAATGAAAACTCTTTTATTGTTTTAATAAATCCTTATCGGATTTTAGGATAGATATTTTCAGAATAATTTCAGAATTATTATATTTTACATTTATTTTAACCTTATGCCTAAACTTATTTATTATTATTATTACTACTATAACTATCCATTTATTGTTAATTTATTATATTATTATATTATATTTAAAATTGTATTACATTGTATAATTTGTAATTGAAATTTATTTCAGTTAAATAAAAAATTATTATTGTTAAAATATAATTGTGTTTCATCTATTACTCTAGTAGTATAGTATGATATTATTATATTTATAATATGTTAGAAATTATAAAGCCATTTAAAAATACAACAAATATATGAATATATTTTTCTTATAAATCAAATTAGTACACTAATAAAAATATATTAATAATAACTTTTTTTTTTATAGGGTACGAGTGGAATATTACGTTAACGAAAATACATTCAAAGAACGTTTACAAATATATTTTATTAAAAACCAACGCTCAAGTAAGTACCCATGAAAAGAAAATATTTGAAAACAAATATTAAATATTAATGTGAAATACTTCGTTATATAACTTATGTATAACTATTTCGAAAATTCTAAAACAAAAGTTGTGATAAAAAATCGTAGACAGTTTTAAAAGAAAGTATTTAAAGAATAATTCTTTGATAACAAAGCTATATTTTTTTTTTACCTCAGTTTCTGCAAAAAAATAATTTTCCATACAATGATTCGTTTTCTTTTAAAAGAATCAATAATTGCTCTTTATAATATTTTCATAGAATCAATTCTATTGTGTGGCATATTTCAATATTCAATCGGTCATAAAATATAATTCCTAGGTAGATTATCATATTGTATCTTATTGAAACAATGTAAATAGTAAATAGTATTAACTACTTTAATAGTAATAAACAACAAAATCGTAGGTATCTTTCACATTTACATTAAAATAACGGTGATTGCATATTGTTCTACAACTTTTAATTAATATATATATTTAATATGTATTATTGTACAGTGTATTCATATAATAGCATACAAATTGGTCCTCCTAACAATATTGTTAACATTCATTGTTTCCAAAACTATTAACTTTCGTGTATTTTCTTCAAAAAAATAAATATAAGATACGGGTTATAGTTCTAAAACTGTAAGTTATAGTCCATATTGTTTTCACACCTCTATTGTTTTTACACCCACCCATATGTTTGTTGATGATCCCATAGTAAACTTTCGATTTGCAACGTATAACTCAAAGTTTAAGATCTGAAGCAGAATACTTATTTAAAAATATTGATACGTAAATAACGAATGCGGCGAAATGTGTATTTTTTATTTATAAGTATTGTAGCCTGTACTGTGTTAGTTTACAAAAGAAGTGTAAAGTGGCAATGGGTACCCTTGAAATGTGAGGTGCGCCACTTCATGCATCTGAACTATAAAAGCTTATTAATACAAAAAAAAAAACGTGATTTATTTAAAATAATATGATATTTATACCCGTGCAAAAGCATTTTTTTGATACAAAAAATTAAAATACATATCCAATTTAAAAATCAAAAGTTTATTTATAGTGGTTTCAACAACAAACAAGAAGGTGGAGAACATAAGGGTGATATAAAATAATAGGATTAGATGTATCCAGATATAAAATGTTAATACGATTCGAAATAATAAGTGTACCCAGTTAAATCGATATGTATAATACACATTATTATGTTATAGATCTTAGTTATTTTTTACTAAAAAACAAACATGGAATAATTATTATAGGCTTATTTTAAGTGTACTTTATAATAATCCCTAAATATTATGTCAGAAAAGTTTTGAATTAATTTTTTTTTAAATTTCCATTCAATGTTCTCCTAGTTTTAATCAAATTATAGTCAAAAACAAATATTTAAATCTTAACCTTTAAGTCAATTTATAGTTTATGTGCTATTTTTTCTTCTCCAAACATGGTTTACTGATTATCATAATATGCTCTTATATACGCTTCAAGTATCTCGTAGGTGCTATACGTTTTGAATTCTAATAAGTTTTAATATAAATAATAATTAATTTCTATTTCAATTTTTTCCCTCGAAATGTTTGTATTTACAGTTATTTATATTCAACTATGATTTTTGTTATAGGTCTTCGTATTCGTATCGCAAATTTATTTTTCAAACTACTAACATGTGTTTTATATATCGTCCGCGTCGTACTCGATCAAGATCCCACGTCCGCGACTTGGTAAGCGAAAAACTATTATGTCATAACTAATATATCTACTATAAAATCTAATATATTAATGTTTTGATAATTCGATTAAAATATAGAAGTTTTTTAACTATATTGTATCATTTTTGTCAATATATTGATTCTCATTAATCTTATAAAATGTTCCCTATTCCCTTGTGTATACCTTGTATTGCCTACCTACTTTTAAACCAGCCATTTATATTATGCACAGTTATGGATGCAAAATGGGAAACAAAACCGAATTCCTATGGAGCCGAAATTTGACGGACGAGGCGTTCCAAGCGAGACCCATAATCAATTGGGATGCGATCCAGTGGGTAAAACGACCGATGGAGCTGTGGGTGATACAGTGCGGACTGGCGGTTTTCGCCCTATGCGAATCACTACTTCTCACGTACATCGGTTACAAGGTAACATTGTTTGTATTTAATTAATTGTGATTATTTATAGTAGTTACCAATTATTTACGACGGTTAACACATTATGTAAGTACCTCTTGTGGTAAAAAAAAGTGTAATAACGCTTTTTTTAAATAGTTAAGTGTATTTACCTGTTTTCCTCAATTTCTAAAATCTAAATTAATACAAAATAAGTACCTAAACTTCTTTGTGTACCAGTATAGTTATTAGTTATATAGGTTTAGGTGTATGATAATATTATCTACCTTGAGCTATAATAACAATAAGGGGGGAAGCACACAAAAATGCGGAATTTGACAGGTAGGAAATCTTGAGTTCTTACACGAGAGTAAGTAACAAGTAAAAAATTACAAACGTTAATTCCTACATATAAGATGTGTAAGTTCCTACATAGTAAAAAAAAGGTGAGTATGTGCTATCCTACATGACAGAAAAAATATTATTACAAATAATTATATGTCGTTTGCATACATTTTATAAATCGATATGACTAATAAAATTCTATATTTTATATAATATTATAAATTATAAATATCATAAAACATTATTAAATTTCGAACATAATCATAAAACAATTATTATTTTTTGCCATGTAGGAACTAACATACGTACCTTTTTTACTGTGTTGGAACTTACGTAGAACCCTTTTCTCTTGTGTAGGAACTCACATATGTATTTTTTTTTACCTGCTAGGTCTCGTGTGGGAACTTGTATTTGCATTCTGCTTCATTTAAATATGTATGCCCATCCAAGTCAAAAATTGAAATTGCCCCTATACAAACAATTTCAATGTAGGTATTACAGCGCACCATACAGATTGTAGGTACTCGATTTAATTGTATTTAATATAATACATTTTTTATATTTTGTTAGATCATACACGCAGTGAATTTACTTCATTCTAATATTTACATTCATTGCCATTGATATAGGACCAAAAAAGGTTATTTTTATGAATGCTATACCTACACTGGATTAAAGATTTATTTTAGCTCATTGAAATGAATCCATTTAGATAATGTTTACTCTAAACCTTTTTATTTTGTAAGATTAATTTACCGCGGAGCCCATTAACATTAAGTATTATATAATAATATATTATAACATTTAAGGTTATTCGAAATTTTATAATATCATCTTAAGTAACGCCTATATTAAATGTATAATATCTTATAGATTTTTTTTCCAAAAATAACCATATGTTATCAAAACAATTGCATTGATTTTTTATTGTCATAAATATATATCATACTATAGATCATTTACGAGATCAAATTTAAGAGTTAATGTAGTAGTTAGTGTATTTTTCAATCTTTAATTTGTTATTAGGTATTCTTTGAACTGATTCTGGGTAGAAATCTAATACTATAATTTTGAAACATTTCTAATTTATGTGATTCTTAATGTATTTTAAATGATTCTGCGAAACTAGAAAAGACATCATGCAAACTAAAAAAAAAGTTATTTTTAGGTTAACCTTCTAAATTTTAGCTTGAAAACGATTTTATATTAGTTACAAATAGCCTCATTTGTTTTGAATAATGAATAATAATAAATTAATTACTAATAATATTATCCGTAACTATCTATTTATCATTTAAAAAAATAATATAGACTATATTTCTATGAAAAGCAATACTTAGACCAAACAAATATTATTGTTTCAATATATACTATATCCATTACTTAATTACAAATTTTAAGATAGAAGTGAACGACGATTGACAAATAAAAGTTCAGTAAATAATTATTACGATTAATGAAAACAATTGTTATCTAAAACAATAAAATACTGATACTGTGTACATCTCCAGAACAGTTCAGTCTTTTTCAAGTCTATGTCTGAATAAACAGGAATAATTATTATTATTTTAAACTAGTATTATGATGTATTTTTAATTAAAATCTAAAGAACAAACAATGATTAATAAACAAAATAAAATAGAAGAAATCAATGTTATTTATTTGTAAAGAATAGAATAATTGTTGTAAAATTTTAAAGATAGAAAATAAATAAGGCTATATAAAGATAGTTATATAGACACAAAATGAATAAACTTTGTTTTAAAATTTAAAAAACACCAATAGGTATTTTTTTTTAAAGCTGTTACGTTGCCAAACATGTACACAACATTGTTTGAAAATAAAATAATACTTCTAACATATTTTAAAATACCTATAATGTCCAAGTAGACATAATCGAAAAAAAAATAAAAAAATATTCTATCTTATGATAGTTAGTAAAAATTATAATATTTTATCGATAAATTCATTTTGAAAGAAACATAGGATTAATATTTGAAATTTTGAAAACTAAAACTGGTAAACTGAGATAGGTTTAAGCATAACTATAATAATTAAGAGATATGAAATTTAAAAAAATAGAAACAATCGGTTGACACTTATTCATTTTTTTTAAGAAATGTTTAGTAATTTAATTCAATCTTTTATGTGAAATGCTTTACTGACAGGAATAACAATGAACATCAAAAACGAAAACAAATGTAAGCCAACATTTATATTGACCTAATCTCGAATATTTTTTGTTGGTTTAAAGTGATTATTTCCGAATAAATTATCGAATGCCATGACTTGTTGTTACTTTAAAATGTAGTTACACAAAAAATTGTTTTGCGTCAAATTAAGCGAAAGAGATAAGTCACCAACAATTATAAGCAAAAGTGTAAGTTTCTATTTCCTGGTATTTTTTTAATATGTATGTGAGGCAATAGAAATGTTAGGTAAGATTCTAATACCTATATGTTTCTGTATAGTTTATTTAATGGTCTTTTTGATTATGAATTACTTTCAATGATTGGTCTTAATATACGTTAACACAAAAGAAATATATTTAGCTTACGTTTTATTCGACAATAAAACTAAACTTTCGAATATTTTTCTACAGAGCTTTGTTAGAGAAAATCAAAGTTCGGACGGCTACATTGATTTTTCTTTTATGTTACGAATTGAATTTAGGCACATAATGTGTATTTATCATTAAACAATATTATTCACTTGAATTAATGATATTATTATATAATATAATGTTGTGTTTTTTAATTATTATATTGCCACGATATCCCGAATGGCAGTTTAAAAACTACAAATACGTAAAAAAATATAATATAATATGGCGTCATGACTTTTATTCTTAAAAAAAAAACAAAACGAAAAGATATTTATTATTAGTTAATCTCACAAGAACTAAATAGTAAATAACAATTGACTGTGGGCAGCTTTACAATCTTCTTAGAGTCTTAAAAAGTTTCTAAAAAGATCTAGAAGATTATTCTAGAAAGTACTAAAAGACAAATTTAATAGACAGCTATACACAAAAAGTCACCAACCTCAGGGCTCTAACAATATAGATTTATTTTTATTCGGTAATGACATTTTAATATTATACAGTCCTTTTAACAAAGGTCGTTTACCTGTTTACAATAATTTATAGTACATAATTATACAAGCAAACACTTAATTCGGTATAGTATTAACTAAATATATTTTTTTTTTATCACGGATTATAACATTTTTTATTTAATTAAGTTATTTTAAAACAAAACTTGATATTTACTTAAGCCGAATGTATACTTACTTTTTAAGCATTTCTTTTAATATTGTGGTAACGTTAAAAATTCCAAAAAGTGATTTTAATACGCAACAGTAGTTCAAAATAATATTCAAAGGTTTACAAAAAAAAAATGAAGAATAATAATTGATTTCATGTTAAGTATACATTTATTTTATATTATTATATTAGATTTATTTCAAAATAAAAATATTTCAGTATTTAAATAAATTCAAGTAATAATTTAGGTAGGAAAAATAGAATTTATAACTTTATATTAACTTTACTAACCATTTATTTTATCCGAAAGTTAATTTTTAATTTAAGTTTATTTACTTATCAATTAACCAGAATGTACACTAATATGATTGTATTAAAAAGTTTAAATTCATCATAAAAAAAACTGTTTGAAGTACTGCTTTAAACATTTTAAATAGTTTTGAGACCATATTTTTTATCAACTTAAAAAAAAAATTGAGATATATTTCAATAATTTTCCTGAGTGATATAGCTATTAATATTATGACCGTGGACTCCAGTATAAAGAGCATCATACATATTTTAAACATAGCATTATGATGTAGGTATATTATATCATGATATTAAATGGGTTTAACTATGGGATGATGGGGTGAGCTCAGGCGTTAGTGCAGTAATGACAACCACACACTGAATACGTCACTGTGACACGGCTGTTGAAAAGTAAGCTAGATGACATAAGTGCCAAATAAATAAAAAAAAATCGAATCATTTGAGTCAAAATTAATAGGACATACTTAATATATGACACAAGCGCCAAAGATATTAAAAAATATATAAAATTTACTCCAATATTAATATTTTATATACCTATTTCAAAATATTTAAAATCATCAATGATCCAAAATAAAATGTATTCGTAAAAATGTATATTTTTGTTCGTTAAATAAAATGCATAAAACGCCTTTATTCGTAATGACTAATATTGTTTTGTAAAATTCATTTTCACTACGGTATAGATTACTCGAATGATTATTACTTGAAATTGTGTAGTTGTAATGTAATGTTAAAACAAAAAACTCTGACGCTCTATTGTGATAAGATAATACATTTGTCGATTAAGATTATACGTTTGGCTTTTTTAAACGATATAGTTCTAAATTTGCTATCTGTAATTAAGCACACCACGAGACACGAGTATCTGGGATTTTGGAGCTTGGCGCTATTGAACTAAAGGATTTTTTTTCCTAATCTCATTTTAGACCGTCTTACACCTGAAACATTAAGGTCAAGTCCGTCTATTATGAACCAGCCATACTAACATCTTTGTCACTAAAATTATCAACGACACGGTAAATAATTTACTATTGTGGTACATGAGATAAAAATGATTTGTTGAATAATTTGTTTAAGTTTATTACACAACACAAAATAATTAAAATGT